ATTTTATAATCTTTATATGAAAGTTTATCTAGTAATCACAAAATTAAAGAGTTGATATATATATGTAATGTATATTACTACATTAAATAACTATATTTGCTTCAGAAGAATAAACATTAATCAAATATTTAATTGCAGATAAAGCTAAAGATCAGGGCCGTCTCTTTAGGATTGGCTGGTCTCGGATTATCCTTGATGAAGGGCATCAAATCCGAAATCACAAGAGTCAAACGGCTAAAGCTGTCTGCTTGCTCCGTGGAGGCAGACGATGGGTACTTACAGGAACCCCTGTGCAAAATAAGGAGATGGATCTGTATTCCCTCTTGCGGTTCCTGAGAGTTTCTCCCTTTGATGATTATACAGTAAGGAATTATTATGTTTATTTCTGTTTGTGTATTTGAAGTTTCATAAAGTTAGTGACATGATAAAAGGTGTTTACATCTCCCATTTGAATGTTCTCTTTAACCCAGTGAATATAACAGGTGAATTTCTTTTATAGTGTTGGAAGCTACAGGTATCAAACAACAGTGCTCAGGGAATGCGGCGATTAGGCCTTCTAACCAAGGTCATCATGCTAAGGAGAACAAAGGATCAGGTATTTTATAAATACTTCATGCTTGATATACATCTTCCATGTAGAACTTGAATGATCATGCTTCTTTTAATATATGACTTTATTGTTGAATTACTGTGTTGTCCCATCTATGTTGTTGTTCTTCTTTCTTTCTTCCTTCCTTCCTTCCTTCCTTCCTTCCTTCCTTCCTTCCTTCCTTCCTTCTTCTTTTTCCTCTTCTTCTTCCTTCCCTCCCTCCCTCTCCCCCTCCTTCCTTTCTTCCATCCTTCCTTTTTATTGAATATTCTCTTAGTTTTTGTATGAAAGATTGTTTTATTCAATGGTCCTTTTCAGGTTGACCAGAATACTGGCAAAAAATTGGTGGAGTTGCCAGAAAAGAAAATTGTACAACATGCACTGTCTCTTTCCCAACGTGAGCGGGAGGTCTATGACAGGGTTTTCACTTTCTCAAGGTGGGTAGAGTTAAGGAATGAAAGTATTCTTATGGTAAATTATGCAACTTGTAATCTGTCTAATGGGCTAATTGTTAATATTGTTTAAATTGATTTTTTGTTACCAGAGTTTTTCTGCATACTTTTTTAGAATTTTAATTTTGACAAGCTCAGTATAGCCCTTTCATTAGCATCATTGAGCATTCATGTTAACATTGTGCAATTATATAGGGTAAGGTGTAACTATAATATCAAATATATATAAATATGTTGATGGGCCCTGGCTTTAGTCATTCATGTGACTTGCTAAAACTAACAGCAAATAATTTTATATGGAATGAACTTTTTTGATGACTCAAATGTAGATGATATATTTTACTCCCTGTGTTTACATGAAAATAGATGAAGTATACAGAGTCAAATTCAAATATTCCAAAACTTTAAGGTTGATTCTGCCTAATTAGATATATACCTTGAGTAACTACTAAAAGTCTTCTAAAAGAGATTGTGTCCTGTTACACATTAGTGATTGAACTTTATGGAAAAAGTTTAAAAGTAAAAATGCTTGCAACTATAAAATTATAGTTATTTTAGATGTTTATTAATTAAGATTGATTTCCATGTCATTCTGAATTTTAGATTATTGAGTTTATATCACCAGTGTTGATATCTCTTTGACTGTTCTCATTATTAGGTCTGCATTGGTCCAGTACATGAAGAGTAATGAAGAAAGAGAGCAAGAAAAAATGGAAAATGGGGTGGAAACAGACCAGCAGTTGTTGCACAAAGAAAGATGGTAAGATCAATGTTTTTGTTGTAAAAATAAAAAGGGCATTTTGGAATATGCAAATTTGTCTCTCCATGTGTAATTTGTAAAGATTATGTTTAAAGGAATATAACCTCTTGGTTTCATTTGTCTATATATGTGGTTAAGAATATACTAAAAATTGATATGCATAACTTAGCTTAGACAACATTATTACTCTCATAATTTTTAAATCTTTTAACCAAATGCCGACGGGAAAATGTTGCATTCTCTTTAGTATTGTTTTTTTTAAATGTTTCTGTACATAAATGGGTCTGCCAGTGCTTAGCCACAAAAGAGTCCATTAGTAGAGCTTGGGACCTCGCCTCTCATTGAAATAGTGAGAAAATGATTCTTTTATTAATGCTATCAATATTAACCCGTATTTTTGTTAAAAACATTGTAAGTACTATATTGTCACTGACATTATTAACAGCAGTATTAGATACTAGAAATACTTTCGAAACTCAAGGAAAAGGGTAAATAGGTCAGACAAGTACTACTTGTAACTGGCTCATTGGTTACTTAGTACTTGAGCCATCTATAGGTAAAAACAATAACTAAATTAAACACACAGTTGGTATGGCATGTACGCACATGCTATGCCCGGCGGCAAGTGTTTAAAATGGAAAAGGATACCTAATTTTATCCCAATTAGAATTTGATATTTATGTCTTTTGGAACATGTTTTAAAGACTATGTAGTTTACATTGTTATACTATATAGTGATATTATTAGTTAACATATCAAAATTGCACTAATGATTGGTAAGTTAGCCATTTAGTGTACTCATGATACAGTATGTAATAAGGTGCTTTTAAAAATATTTTGACTTTTTTCATCTTTTTCTAATTCCCTTAAACAGACAACAGATTTACACCAACACTCACAGCTGATTCTGCAATTGAAAATGTAAAAGCTCATCATTTGCTGGTATTGCTTCTTCGTTTGCGTCAGATATGCTGCCATCCTTCTCTCATTAAAGGGGTAAGGATTCATATTCTCACTCTCTTCTCTCCTTTCAGAAAGTTTTCATTACAGTAGTTTATAGTATACTTTTTTATGATTTGGAATAATAATTTTCATAAAGGCAGGCAGATAAAAACTCCTTTGTTTTCAGATGGTGGAAACCGAGAGTAATGACACAGATGGTTTAGAGAGCGGCACAAAAGATAGCATGGAACTGGACTTGGTTTCGCAGATGGCAGAGATGAGTCTTATGATGCCAAACGAGGTGGAGGAGGAGGCTGATAATAAAGTGAAGAAAGACATACTACACCTCAAGAATCCTGTCTTTTCTACGAGCTCTGCTAGCTCAAAAGTGAGTTGTTTTTCTCATGTGTTGTCATACTGAACATGTTTAAGCTTAGGTTTACATTTAGATTAACCCTTTGAATCTTATTTGCCATGACTGTATCCTATTGCAGTTTATGTGGCATGTATCGGCTGGCTTACTCAATGTCATTTCCTTCAGGATTTTTTTTCTTCTTCTTTTTCTTTATTATTATTTTTTAAGTGTAGATTAAAGTACTTCAAATATCAAAGACTCCACTTTGCCTTGGTTAAGCCTAAAAATTAGGCCCCTGTTACAGCTGGTCTTTGTCTAAACTGTACTTTTAATTCACATAACATAGTCCTACACTTGTTGACAAATATTCTTCATCAACAGATTGAGAAAATCACTGAGGAACTCTGCAAATTGCGTGACAAAGGAACAAGGGAAAAGGCCGTCATTGTCTCCCAGTGGACATCCATGTTAGAAGTGGTTGAAAAGCATTTGGAAAATGTAGGAATTCGGTGCCTCACAATATCTGGTCAAGTTTTAGTCAAGGAAAGACCTGCTATTGTTGATGACTTTAATAATAATCCTAGAGGTCCACCAGTAAGTTTTTATTGATATTTTTCTTTATCCTTGGCCTTTAACTACCTTCCAAGTTTTCTAGACTGTGTGCAGATTTTTTTTTTTTTTTCTCTCTTTTTTTTTTCTTTTCATTAATAAGCTTTCTTCTTGTAAATGAGTGTGAATTTGTAATTCTGGTACTCTATGCTATCTGTCATCTAGCAAATAATTTCTCATTTTCAGGTATTGCTTCTATCACTGGCTGCTGGAGGTGTTGGACTAAATTTAGTCGGGGCAAATCATTTGTTCTTGCTGGACATGCATTGGAATCCGCAGTTGGAGGCTCAAGCCTGTGACCGCATCTATCGTGTGGGGCAGACGAGAAAAGTTACTGTGCATAGGTGAGGAATGGTTGACGTTCTTTTCTATTTCTGTCTTTAATTACTTTTTTTGCAGTATTTCTTCATATTTTCTTTTTTCTCTTAATCTTTTGTTGGTGTCTTCTTCTTTTTTCATACAATTTTAAGCAAGACCTATTATTTGTGAGCTCTCATAACTCTGTTATTTTGTAGATATTTGCAAGTCCCATTGATGTAGTCACTTGTTAATGATTAATGATTCAGCTAATTTCTAATAATTTAAGTTGTCGTCAGTGACATTTGGTCATCAGTCACTGGATTAGATAGCCCTCATTGATATAACTTGTATTCAGTGGTTTAATTGGTCAACAGTGTTTTAAAGCATCATTTCATTTAGGCCTATTTAACTATGAAGGCCAAATTAGCCTGGTTTCAGATACATGCATTTTTTTAAAGTTCCACCTTTCATATAATTCTCCAAGATCAGCAAACCAAGTACATGCATTGTCCTCTATTGTTTTGTTTTGTAAATTTTATTTACATGTAGATTGACTTCTCAAAGCACTTAATCACCAAGGTTGATATCAATGACAAGATTTACCCCATTTTTTAAAAGTTTTTGGGAAAAGGTTTTCTTTCTAGCACTTACTGTTACTGTAATAATAATAATAATAATAATTATTTATTATTATTATTATTATTATTGTAATTATTGTATTATAGTTCTAAGTTTAAATTACAGTGGACATGGCATTAATACATGCCATCCCTGCATCAGTGATATAGATAATCCTTGATGATCTAAATAATCATCACTGTTTCAAGTTGTTTATAATATTTTATCTTCCAGGTTTGTTGTGCAGAACACTGTTGAGGAACGGATATTGCAGCTCCAACAGAAAAAGCTACAGCTGGCAGAGGACGTACTGTCAGGTGCTAAGAGAACTACTAGCAATAAATTGACACTTGAGGATATGAAGTCAATTTTCAA